AGCTTTTCTTTTGTTCCCAGGGCCAGGTCTAAAAACTCCAGAAGCAAGAACAATTGAGTACTTGGAGGAAGTAGCAATTAGCTTTGCCAGAGGACTAGCCAACAGGACTGTGTCTACCAGAAAATCAAAAGGGCTAATGCAGAGTAAGTCTTATCGGCATCATAGCCAACTCCCAAGAGACTGTAGTGAGTATAATGCAACTTTGATTTTCGGGGGTATATTCATGCTCTTAATCCAAAACAAAGTTCTTTCATGTTGTAACAGTCTCTAGAACCAGATCGGTTGATAGAAGAAACATTACTCTGCAGATCTGATCTTCAAGTGGCGTTGCCAGAGCTGTGCATGGTGGCCCCTGAAGTGTACTAGAAGGTTGCTAGGCCTGAGGGAGGGAGCGTCAGCTCCCCCCACAGAGGACTATCCATCTTGTAAGCTTTAGTGGCAAGTTTTGTACCAAGCTTGTGTGACGAGAAGCCCGTGGACCTGCTCTGCGCTGATCCTCTTCAGCAGAGCCCTAACGCAGTTCGCAGAGCCCAGAAATGATGACCTCTGTCTGTGCAAGTTCTGCTCCATAGGTCAGTTTTGTAGTCTGTCACTGACTGCACGAGGAGGATAGTTTAGCCCTAAAAGGGACATGTCCATGGAACAAGCCATAGAAATCCATTTGACCAGACCAATGCTAGCTGTGTCTAAGTGGGTTTCAGGTGCACGTTTCTATTCCACATGTGCAACATTCACACCTGTAATGTTCAGCGTTCAGGTTAATCATTTGAAGGCTGGTTGTGTATATAGGACTGTGCTGAGATGTGTTTTGTCCCATCTTAGAGATAACAGATTATGCCATGGCTGTTCCATTTGTGAGGCAGCAAGTCTACAAGACAGTGGAGAGCAAAGTTCAGAAGCAGACCAAAGGACTCTACCCTGCTCCACTAAAAATCATTGAGGTAATCCCTGCTCTGAGAAATATGAAACTGCAGTGAAGGTGAATCTGCAGGATGACATGGAAACAAAGAGAGGGAAGGTGGTTCCTTTGTCTGAGTCAAATTACGCGTTACTTTACAGAAGATCAGTCTTGATGGCTGCTAGCTGTGTGGTATATGGAGCAAACGTTCAAATTCAGAATAGCTTCCCGGAATATCACCAGCAATTCATGTGGTGCTGGCACCAGTAAGGGAAAGATCAAGAAGCCCTATTGAGGGAAGGCTTAACTGGAATAATTTCTGTGAAACTTCTAGCTGCAATTTCTTCAGGTTTCCTGTACAGTTTCTAAGGAGATAGATTAACCTGTTTGAAGCAAGGAAAGTATCAGTTGCTATTTTCATAGCACTAAGCACCCAAAGCTTTAAAACTTAGTCCCCTAAGTAACGCAGGTGTTGTATTACTTGAAAACATTGTCCACGGTTGAATCCTTCTTTTAAAATGACTTTTCACTATTTAAATTGTTGCCAAGACTTCTCTAAAACCAGCGTATGTCCCCCTCTGATTCTGGGAGCAATGACATTACAGGAGCACAGTCCTACGGAAACAATTCCTGAAAGTGCAAGGTATGTGTAAAAAATTAACCTGAGAGAAAGTGCCTTGCCATTGTAGCTACGCTGTGCTGGAAGGACGAGATGGTTCATAGCTCGGCTTTGGACAGCATTGACAGGACCCAGAGAGTCTCAGGTGCCCCTGAAATGTTGGGGAGGGGCTGATGGTGAAAACAGGAGGCGCACAGCTAGACAAGTGATCTCTTTAAAGTGTAGCTGTTGGCAGGCGTGCCTTAACAGTGGCATATCTTTACTGCTCTTCTTTGACTAGGTTGTAAAGACTGGTCTTGATCAGGGGCGTGACGCTGGATACCTCACTGAATCCCAGGTAAGAAGATTAGGTCGCTGGTAGTAATTGGTAGTTTATGTAGATGTGGAAGATTTGTGTTTAGCCATGCACAAAGGAAGATACTCTTCACAAGCTGCTCAAAATGATGCCTTGATCCCTGCCCCCTCTTTTGGGAGAGGGACTGTGAAAATGGCCTATCTTAAACGACAGTCCCGTTATTCAAGTTTCTTCATCTGTGAAAAGAGCCGGTGGCCTTCTTTATTCCTGTTTGGTTTGTCTTTTTTGAGTTGGGAGTAGCCAGATGAAGTTCAGCATTCTACATGTCCCGTGGTAGGATTTTCTATTTGATTTTCTTTTTTTTTTTCTTTGATTGCCATATGGGACAGGTATTCTATAGGTGGGTATAGTGCTGTTTTAGTCTCCTGAGTATTCCTAGGTAATGTGGTGCAAATAAGTCATTTCTTCCAAAACTTGTTACCTTTCCTTTTTACCAGTGTTCAGTTTCCTCTGCCACTTTTTTCCACCATCATGTTTGCTTAGAGTGTTGATTCTCTATTACTCTTGTTTTGCTTTGTCATGTTTTATATTCCAGACACCTAGTGCTAGCCCTTTTTCACCCATTGATAATTGTGTACTCGTGAATAGATGTTGTTTTTTCAGTTCTTGTTTCTCATCCAAAACAGGACTTCTCTGTCCCTCTGTGGATCTTACTTATCTATTTACCACACCAGTCAGAATAGTGGCTGGTACTGGCCATTCGGAGGGACAGTGACAAGCTGGAGAACTGGACAAACAGGAATCTCATGAAGTTCAAACAAAAATACTTTTTTTTTTTTAAACGTTTCTCTCTCTCCCTGCCAGGATAGGAGGCTTGCAGATTCTCTTACAGGCTTCCTGTGTCTGGTATTTCACCCAGTCTCTAACTCACAGGACAATGACAAAGGAAGATACTGCCTGCTCTGAAATATGTTGTATTGATGGTTTTCCTAGGGCTGGATTTTCCTTAGCTGGTTTGGCTTGGACAGCCTTGTTAGTTTGCTGTCACCTTAGACTGTCTGTTGTCTTCCTGTCTGTTCCTGTTTCATGCTGACTGCTGAGAGTTTATGCAGGCTTCTGTGTTGCCCGTCCTCTGAAAACAGGCATCAGGCTACAGTTCTCAGCGAGAGCTGGCTTGTTTAAAGATTTGAATAGTTAAGGTGCCTCAGAGTCTGAGGGCAGGATCCTTTTATCTGGAAGTCACTGGGGCACTGGTCCCCAGCTAGTTGAAGATGTGCGTGGAGTAGAAAGGGGCGCGTTCTTGCCCTGTTCCCTTACCAGTGAAGTAAAAGCCTGCCGCTGGGGAAGTAGAATCAATTCCTTCACTGATCTCTTACCGACTCCACAGCTGCTGGCTGGCGGAGGCACCGGCGTCGCTTCTCGTTTACCAGCCCAACAGTGAACTGCCAATGAATGCTCTTTCCCAGTGCGGTGGGAGAGTCATCTGATGAGTGGAAACAAGCTGTGAATGGGTCAGTGGGTAGGAAGGACTTGGACGTGGAAGTATCCTGGCTATTCTTGTTCCCCAGCAGGCTCCTGCCAGGCAGATGCTGAGGGTCAGAGGCACATACTCTTTTCAGAGGCTTTGAATTATATTGTTTGTGGAAAGGGACGTTAAAAGAGCAGTTTCCTACTGCCTTCTGGCAGCCCATGTGGGAGATGATAGCGCAAAGCCGGCTGTGCTTAGCACTGAAGGTAACTCTGCAAAGAGGGCGCACGTGCCCTGCCTGCTCTTCCATTTCTGTTCAGGTTACTAGTCTGTGTAATTGCATGGGTGGTTGTGCTGCCCCTTTGCCATATTTTTGATGCGTACACGTTGGAAGTGTGACAGCAGTTAAAGGCCAAACTCTTTGCCTCCCTCTCTCCTTTCTTTCAGAATTTTGGCCAACTTGCAATGACTAAAGAAAGCAAGGCACTGATTGGACTTTACCGTGGGCAGGTGCAATGCAAGAAGAACAAGTTTGGAACACCTCAGCGAGAAGTCAAGTAAGTGCAAGTGTGGGATACCTAAAGGAGCATTTGGAGGGCCTCTGCTGAAAGGCTCTTGGGGCCCACTGGCCTAGAGCCCCAAAAAGCAGCATAGTATAGCAGAGATGTTTCCAGCTCCAGAAGGCCCATCCTCTGCAGTTTAGAGGTCTCATTCACAAGTGCAATCTTCTTGTGTGACCTCACTAAAAGTACTGCCTGGATGGACAGGATCTGTATAAGTCTGACCGGCAGTAGAAATTCAGCTGTTTCTGGCTTTGAACGCGTCTACCCTTTCTGTGCAGGACCCTGGCTGTGCTGGGAGCAGGGCTCATGGGAGCCGGAATTGCACAGGTTTCAGTGGATAAAGGACTGAACACCATTCTGAAGGACACAGTACAGCAAGGCTTGGAGAGAGGACAGCAGCAGGTCTTCAAGGGGTATGTGAGTTTAAAGGAATTCACTCGGGATTGGCTGGGGCCTCCTTCAGTTAAAATACTCCTCTGCTTTCAGGCGATCAGGAACTCCTGACACCTCTGTTCCTTTGGAGTCATCTTCCATGAGCTATCACAACAGTGCTTTCTTTTAGAGTTGCGTATGCAGTGTGCTGGGATATTGCTACAAAATAGGTCCAGTGTATTCAGCCTTAGTTCCTTAGGTAGGCAGACCACCTAATACGTGACTGCTTTAGTTTTTAGATTTAGCAGGAGCTTATAGAACTAAGGGGAGGGAGGTACCCATGTCGGGACGCATCGGGTCCAACTTCTGAAAAGCTGGATTTCTTTCCCCTGTACTCCTGGCTCAGCAGAGATAGTGCTCAGCTGCACAACTCTTAAGGAGCGTAAATGATTGACCTTCAGACTAATGCACCAAGAGCTGTGTAAAGAGGGCCCTACTTCTTCTGGATGGAAAGAAGGGCCAGTAGGCAGAGTGACAGTCTTGCTGGACTGGAGATGGTGTTTTAGGTCTCAGCTCCAGGAAAGACGGATGAGCTTGGTGTCACAATGTACCAGGGCCTCCCTGGAGCTCTGACAGAGCTGTCCTTCCCTAGGCTGAACAGCAAGGTGAAGAAGAAGAGTCTAACACCGTTTGAGAGGGACTTGTTTCTCAGCAACCTGACGGGCCAGCTGGACTACAAAGGCTTTGATAAAGCAGACATGGTGATCGAGGCTGTGTTCGAGGACATTAACATCAAGCACAAAGTGTTGAAAGAAGTGGAGGCCGTGAGTGTCAGTTCTGAGCAGCCTGTGCTAGACATAGCCCCTGTACGCTAGAGACTCAGGGTGTCTTGCCCTGCTGGGTTTTCCACATCTCTTCTGTGCTGCAGTTTAGTGCTTGGTACTAGTTACTCATTTCAGTACATGGGTGGGTGCCAAGGGCGGTGTTCCTGTCCAGTTGTGACATAACTGGACTCCTGGGAGCCACTCCAAAAAAGTTTCCATTTGTCTGAATACTTTGATGTGACAGGTATGTCCTCCTGTATCTCCACAATATGTAGTCCTTTACCTGCTGTCCCTAGCTTGCTGCCACTGCTCCTTTTCTATCCAAGAATACACTTAAGAGAGTGACTGTGTATGTTAAAGAAACTGGCCTATGCTCCTCTCTGGGGTCCATCCTCACAGTGTCTAACGTGGTTGCAGTGAACTGGCAGAATCATGGTGGATCTGAGACAGACCAGTATCACAAACCCTGGAGGCAGATCAGTGTAGCTGTCCTGCAAGTCAGATCTGGTTGACTTGGACTGCTGCTTTAGGATGAGTTTCTAATGCTGCCTGCCCTGACAGATTAAAAGAGGTTTGTCTTGTTTGTAAGGCATTACCAAATGCTAGGAATGCTCTGTGCTGGCACTCTTCTCTCGGGGCTCTGCACATCACAGTCCGAATCTGGCCTTGGACATTTAAACTGTCTTTTCCCCTCTCCCCCCCAGGTGATCCCTGCTCACTGTGTCTTTGCCAGTAACACATCTGCCCTCCCAATCAGCCAAATTGCCGCTGTTAGCAAGAGGCCAGAGAAGGTGAGTGCCCAACACCAAGGGCCTGCTGTGAGTCTGCTCTGTGCTGAGCTGCCTGCTAGTGGCAAAATGGCTTTGCTATTGATGAGATATTGATGAGATTGCTGGGATCTTCTGCTTCCGCCTCAGAACATGGAACAGCTTGACCTCTGCCTTCAGTACAAACTTTGAACAAAGAGTATGTGATCCTTGGATTAGGTACAAAGGGGATGAAGGTGGACTTGCCCCAAGTGAGATGTTGGTGCGGCAGGGCACAGTACTGCAGGGAGGTCAGCGCTTCAGGAAGCATTAATGCACACAAGAGGCAGAAAAGCTGTGAAAGGACTTGAGCTGAGAAAATTCATTAGGCATAGGAGTCATTTGCCATGGTGGGGAAGTAGCTTCCTAGAGAGAAGGGTGCTAATGTAGCAGCAAAAAGGGAAGAAAAGTCAGTGGCTGCTAGCTGAACTCAGAGGTGCTGAAACTGGGAGCATGGGCCCATTTTTTACTGGCCACATATAGGATCAGCTCTTGAGGCGGGTGGGGGGGTTTTCTCTGTGGTTCCAAATGACACAGGCCTTACAGGAGACCTGCACCCTTCAGGAACAGCAGCAGGAGGCCAGACATGACACTGCAGTATCCAGAGTGGTGTGAGGGATCTGTGTGATCAGGTGGAGTCACCTCCCATGGCTAAGCATCAGTCTGGGTGGCCTTGATGTAGCAAGGGAGAAGTGCTTTCCCCTAGCTTGAGGAATCTGCTTTGCCTGCCTGGGGCCAGCAGGCTGCAGAAAATGCAGGCCGGAGTGAGCATGTCCCACAGCAAGACGATCCCATGGCAAGAACCAGACTCTCTATGAGATATGTGGGAAGGGGAGGCAGTAGCAGCTTTGGGAGAAGGAAAGGGAAGCTCTAGAGCTCCATCAGAGTGTTACGCAAATGCTGCTGCACAGGTGCCTTCAGCTGCTTCCCTGAATTCCTACAAGGATCTCATATCTGCCCAGGGCAGTCCATTGCCTCTGCTGCTTGTCTTCCTGTAGAAGATCTGTGAACACGTGTAAAAAGTTATGGAGTAAAAATGTGCGTCCCGACTGTTAGAGGTATCTGTGACCTTCATGAGCCTCTTTATGGCTTGCTATTCAGATCTTAGTTGCATCTGAAATGCAAACTCTTGCTGGATAAACTGTCCGTGTAATATCTCTTTATGGGGAAACTAATAGGAAATCAATTAACTAATTAATGTATTTTCTATAATTAATTTTGCAGTCTGTGGCTTTCCTACAAGGTGTCTCTGACTTATGCAGATCTTAGTGCCAAGTGTTGCTTCCAGGAGTCATGAAGGTGACATCCTGATTGCGTGGCTGTGTTAGGAAGATCAGGCACACAGATGAATAATGTACATATAAATGCCTTTCCCAAAGGAAAGCTTCACTTTCCTCTATAATTAATTTCTGGAAACGTGCCTTCTTGTCCATAGATCAACTTCATCACTTAACCACAAGCAGAACACTAGGCACAGAGTTGCTTTCCCAAGTCAGATAGCACCTGCGGATCATGCAGTGCCCATGACTCACCTGGGGTCTGAGCTAAGCTAAGATTCCTGGGGAAGTTTTGTTGCCAGACTGTTAACAAATACAGACAGACCTGAGCAGCCCACGCTATAATCTTCAGTGGGCTGAGAGATGTGTGTGTGTGCTGCACCCTTGGGAAAGCCAAGGAGAGAGGGAGTTGGAAAGTGCTCCCCTCGGAGAAGGATCTGGTGGAATATATGCAGCATGGTGATGAAGTCTTGCAGCCTGTGCTGGCCTGCTTCCTCCGCAGTTGGGCACTTGACTTTCCTAGATGATTGCTGTAGGCACCAGAGTCTGTTTTAACCCTCTGTTCTTGCTTCTGCTCTAGGTGATCGGGATGCACTACTTCTCTCCTGTTGACAGAATGCAGCTGCTGGAAATCATCACCACAGACAAAACATCCCAGGACACAGCTGCTTCTGCTGTTGCTGTTGGGCTCAAACAGGGCAAGATTGTCATCGTGGTAAAGGTGAGGGAACACTGCCCAAATACCAACTGGGATAATAAAGGTCAGTCTTGTGCACTAAGCTGAGGATGTAGCGTGGCTGTGAATACACTGGCATTAGCTCTGCATGCTGCAAAGTCAAAATAGAGGTTGGAAGAGGGCTAGTGCCTAGGTGATCCCTCAGGAGGCTGAAGTCTAAAGTGGCATCTGAGATGAAGCGGCGTCTGGGCGGTACTCTCACTGTCTCTTCTCCCTGCAGAGCAGCAGGAGTAGAGGAACCTGTGAGCAGTAACCCTCATCTCTTTGGATTTAAATCTTGTGTGAGAGGGAGGGCAGAAATACATGTGCACAAAGCAGGGGGAGAGGACCGAGTGCAGCACAGCGAGTCAGGAGTTGTGAACGAACTGTGGTGGCCTCCAGGAAGAGGCAGCAGAGCACAAAGCCATGGGTTTTGGCTGGTTTATTAGGCTGTCAGTTGCTATTAAGCACATGCCCCTCTAAACAGAGCAGGTCTCCTGCTCCGTAGTAGAAAGCATCGGTGATGCCGTTTCACCTGTGTGGGAGGATTAGTTTGTAGGTTCAGAGCAGTTGGATAAGTGTATGTTCAGATTTGTCTTTTCATTGAAGCGTGAGGTTGCCAGTGCTGCAGACTAGATGTTTCCTGTTGCACTGGTAACACTGGCTTGGCTAAAAGTGCTCTAGATGTCTCCGTAGGCCAGTGGAGATACCGTGCTTCTTCTCAAATTCTCACTCCCAAATTAGATGCTTCCCCGAATGGCAGTCTGCAGCTAATCTGTTGCTTCCTGACTTTGTGGGCAATGTCAGCAGGTGAAGCAATAGGTTAATGCCTATTTCACTCATGCTGAGCACCCTTTACCCCCAGGCAGTCTTTTGGGATTGATGTGAAGCGAGGGGACTTCTGCAGCCTGCCTGGGACCTCCAGGCAATATTTTTAATAAAATCAGTCTGGGGACTTCCAGGGAGTGCATTTCTGAAGGTCTTCAAACCCTGGTGGAGCCTTACGGGTGAAAGCTGTTCTAGGAGTCAGTTGCATACCATTCAAAATAGAGCAGTTCAGTGTCTCCACCTGCCAGTGCCCGAACTGCAGCTCAGCCTGTGAAACAGTCCCTGTGCGATCAGTAAACGCTGTATTCCTGC